TAATAAAATAAATAATTTATATTTAAATGAACAAGCAGCACAGAGCTCCAGTGTTTCATAGATTCATCCATTGATTTGCTATGCAGATGGCCTCTAATTTAGTGATTGATTGAATAAATGACTGATGCATATTATTGCTCGAGTTTAATCATGATTAAACTTGTGATCCATGTGAATGGATCAAGAACAGTAGCAGTGCTGTATAATATTCCTGTGTATAATGCTGCCTTTGCTGTCATGTCGATCATAACATCCCATCATCTGCTGTGCCAAGCATTAGAAAGCTGTCTCCATGACAACTACACCATGGCGCATGTGAACAGGAAGAAGGTTGATATGTGAGCAGAGTGTTAAAACACCCGCTCACGTACAAAATGCCACACACACACCCACACTGTCGATGATGTTTATCTGTGAGGGACGAGGTTAAACCATCATTTGTAAACAGCAGACCGTGATGTGTTGCCTGTCAACTGCATATCTTCTCAACCTCGCATCCATTCTATCCTCTCTCAGCTCTTTAGTTTAACATTGTCTGTACATAAATCTAATTTTTTTAAAGTGTTATCTGTTTTTGAACACAAACAGGGCACTCTTTCTTTTCCCTAAGAGCTCTTTCAGTGACTAGCCATTGTGTCATTGATTTAGTGCTGTTATTGATTCTTCAAAACTCTTTCAGTCTTTCTCCATTGCAGAACCATTTAACAATAATGCATTGTTGAGTACGATTTGAATAATCTGTCATCAGTTAACATACCTCTGGATGGTTGTCTTTGTCTTGTCTGCATAGTCAGTGTGCCCACTACAGCTCCCATGTTGTCACCGCAGAGACACGCACGTTCAAACTAATAAGCGTAGAGTCCGCCAGTCTGTCTTTCTTTGTTGAAGCCCCTGCTCTTGTTTCCCTCTCCACTCTCTTCTCACTTGTCAGCGAATAAAGACAAGCTGGAATTTTCTTGCTAAAAGCATATGGTTCCTTTCTTGATGCCCCTCCCACAAATTTCACTTTCTCTCTCTCTTTCCCTTCATTTCTCTTTCTTTGCTATTCACTCTTGCTGTTTCTCCTTGGTCCCGTTTGTTATTCAGAGTCAGGTACTGTTGCTGTGCAGGCGGATCAGCATGAAGGGAAGCAGTAGGATGAGTGTTAGGATGAAATGCTCCTCTCTGTAGCGTACACATGCACACACATACGCAGATATTTTCCTTATGGAATTGCAAATCTCCAAACAAGCTGAATGTGGCAAGATGGATGATGACTTTAGTTCACACTCTACTGCTTTTAAATGCACAGGCATTTGTTGTTCTATCATGGTGGGGATGTTCCACTGACTTCTGTTGTTCTTATACTGGGCAAATTATGTTTTCTATCCCCTAACCTCACACCTAAACCTCACAGAAACCATTTTTAAAGAGATAATGCACTCAAAAATGACAATTATTTACTCACCCTCATGGTGTTTCAAACCCGATTTTTTTTTTCTGTAAAAAAACAAGATATTTTGAAGAATGTGTTTTTGTTCATACAAAGAAATAAAAATCCTGTTCAGTTTATAGTAAAGTGGCAGCTGTGGTTGCTAGAAATTGACCATAAAAATTGAGTGATGTTTAGCATATATTACAGGGTAGCATACTGGTGCCTGTATATTTTATAATCATATATTTCATTGTGTGATATAATGTTAACACACCAAGCTACAAATAATATTATTACAAATAATAAATATTAAGTAAATAACAGAAAATGCAACACAAAGCTGATAACAAAAAGTAAGAAGAAAAAATTATTTATATAAAATGTAATCATATGTCATGTTTCATGTAGGTAGTTCTGGAAATGCCCATTTACTGTTTTTCGCCATATTTATATAAAAAAAAAAAAAACAACAAAAAAAAAACACATTTGATAGTTTTGTACTGTAAAATTACGTATAATTTTATAGTAAGATTACATATAACCAATACAGTTAATATGGACAATTAACCAATTAACAGGTTTTCACTGTAGCATTTTTAGCCTTTTTTGTAGAAAAAATACAAACATTTTACAGTGTACCGCCTGCTGGTCACCCAGTGTTGGTGATTTTACTGCATTTGTGGAGACATTTAGTCCCCATATTGCAGGCAAGACCTAATCCACATACATCAAATGAGCTGTGGTGTGACTGAGTATTTTGTTTCATCATCCACTGTTCATTTCCAGTTATGAGCCTTTGTGCGTGTGTTCGTTCGCAATTTAGTGACTCAGATAAGAATGTTTCATGGATCAAGTACTCTAAATTTGAGTTTGTGCACTGTACATATACCATTTTAATGCTTTGTAAGCGACCCATATACTCTTGTTTGTTTCGGTATTCTCTCTCATTAGTGGGGAACTGACCCCACAAACTTTTCCGATTAAAGAGATGGAAACAGAGATCAAGTAAACAGAAAGGGGAAGCAGAAAGACAAACTACAGAGGAAAACAAATTGCCGCCGGGAGATATCTGAGTTTCAAAACAGCAGGTCTGTAACCTTATTAATAATCCAAAAAAGATGAGACTTCAGACGGACAAGCTTTGGGCTGAGAGTTTGGAGAGAAGTTGAAGGTAATAATTACATAATATCAACCCGCACCGCTCTGTATTACGCAAATCCAGCAGGACTGACCTGAATATCAGGCCAAGATATCCAGCAATATCCTTATTCTAGCACATAGACATATGCACTCCATCACTACAACCCTGTCTGCACAAAACACAACACCCTGAGATTGTACCACCTGCCTCACACAGGATAAAGATGTTGGTATCAACATTCAAATTTAATCAGAACACATTTTTTGTTGATGTAAGACGTTTGTAATGCTTTTCTCACTTTGGCACTCGTCCTTGGAAGAGAAACAATGATATCCAGCAAACGACTGGCATGTGTGAAATCCACGCAGGGAGGTGTAAGCCTCTTTTCTCACTCAGTCTGTGTCAGACGTTCCTTTGCAGACGCCTCATTGAATCTGCTAATGCATTTGGGAGATGGTTACAGATGATTGGCTTACACTTGAAAAGCTATTCAATTGTGCAAATAACAGCCTGAAACCTTGTATCATTGAGAAACTGTAGTCATAGTAATGTTGTTAAATAGGGGTTTGCAACAGCGGTACAGTAAGAAATGGCATAACATAATTTTACCAGCAGTGCGGTTAAAAAAACAGCAATATGTTTGGATTATGCATGTTTGGATTAATTAATAATTCATCTCTTCTATTCCTGCGTGTGCAGATTGCCATTGTTTCTGCAGCGTTTCTTAACAAATATAAATCATATTACAATAGTGTTGTAATTGTATTTTTTAAGCTACTGATCTTTAGATTGCCTCAAAAAATTATTGAAAACGTTCTACTTTTAAAGTTCAAGCATGAGATGGAAATATTAACATATTGATATTGATATTAACATGAACATATATTAATATTTTAATATTATTTGTTATAATAATGCTTTGTTTGTATAGTGCATTTCATGGAAGCTTAAAATGAATAAAATACAACCAATATAAAGCATTCATATAAATTAATTCAAGCATGTGACATTAAATATCACTTGGGTTTGTTTGTAATGCTAATTATTTTATTTCTCAAGTATTGATAACAGAATTTTATTTTATTTATATTGGGGATGAATAACCAATAAGTCTTCCACATCACTAGCCTGTTTGAAAGGTATCTAAAAGGAAAGTCCATAATGTACAGTTATTACTAAGTGAGTTAAACTTGTGAGTTCAACACATACACAAATACAAATATAGTATTGAAACAGCACAGCTGCAGTGCTTTATAGGCCATTTCTACAATCTACAAAACTAGAGTTACACTAAAGTTGAAACTGAAATCTCCTAGTTATCATCCTCACATTTTTTATCCCCAACTCATGAACCTGAAGCAATGCCCTTCAGAAATCCAGCAGAAGTTCTAGTCCGGCAGGGCTGAGTGCCAAAGCCGACACACAGTTTGCATCTCTAGTTATAAACTCACAGGCAGCTCCTGTAACTCCTAGGGATTTTAGTGAAGACTTCAAACAAGCTTTCTGTCTTCCTGCCTAGAACTCGTAATCCTCTTGGCTCCATAATCTTTCTTCAGGTCTCCGGTGTGTATATACTGTATGTGTGTATATGAAATGTGGCTCTCTCTGTTGCTCTTATGAGTGAAACACATGCTCCCACATGTGAGTGCAGTGGTGTTGGTGTTGATTTGTTGCAGTATTGTTTTAGCATATTCTGTAGCACATTAAAGCTGTGGAGAATCGTAAATGGTAAATTTGCATGGAGTGTACGTTAATTAACCTTCGAGGCATAAATAATCACTAACAAACCGCCTTCTCTTTTTCCTCTATTTATGCATTTTCTTATCACATACTTGCAGCCTCATCGCTCCGCTTTTCAAATCCTTCAAATCGCCTCCTCCATGCTCTCAGCTCTGAGCATTACAGGAGGTAATAATTTCGGAATAAATGGCCATATAATACTTTCATAACCCATAATGCCTTGTATGGAGCCCATGCCAGCATATGCCAACACATTCACTTCATCCTTCCTTCGCACATGCACATAATGCACATTGACTTTATCGAAACTAAATTAGGCTAATTAAAATTGCTGTTTGCTAGCCCTTTTGAGATATAAATTCTGGCATTTGTGGAAATTAATAAAAAATATTCTCTCTATGAACTATTTTTCCTTTATAACACAACCCCAAGAGGAGTTGTTTCCTGTTTTAGCCAACTTCAAGTGGCATTCTGTTGCAATTTTGTTTTCCAAAAATTATTTAGGTTAGACACACACACATAGAGACATTCGAGTTACACATTAAGTAGAACAAGAGTGATGCATGAATAAAAAAGTAATATATTCTAATTATCTTGATCTACTCGTCCATCACTCCTTCATTCTCACAAACAAATAGCCTAACTTTACCAAAAACGTATTAATGCAAGTATTTCCAGCTGGTTAATATATCAATTGGATCCTACCTGTCCTGAAGGTGACCTGTTTGGTGTGCATAGAGAAGGTCCCAAACACTACACCCATCTTCAACAGAGTTCTTCACTTTTTCACTTTCCTCACGTTAGATCTTGGCTTGAAAGAAGCACTGGTCCCTGTTTTTGTCTTTATCTCTTGATCTTTCAACTCTCTTTCACTCTCAGGGTTGCTGGTTACTTAGCTCTCGCTCTCTCTCTCTCTTTCCTTTGCGTTCTCTATCTATCATGTGGACTCTGAAGGCTGCTCATCATTTCCTGAGCTCTTATTGGGGGATGAGAGAGACATGGAAAGAGAGAGAGAGAGATGGTGAGCGGTTCATTTAGGAATACTAGTGGAGAATGAGGGAGTGATAAAACTGCGTAGTTAATAGGTCTATCCAGCAGTGTAAGAACAGACTTGTGAAAACAATACCAGACTTTGTCTAGCAGGTATAAAAAGATGATCCTCTTCAGTCAGAGATTTTAAAAGTGAAGTGTGTCATTTCTGTGGCACTAGCATCATCGAAGAGAGTTGGGAAAGTAAGGAATGTTTTCCAAACAGGTTTCCTAAACATTGTCTGCTATTGGTCAGTCAAACATTTTGCCCCACCCCAAATTCACACCATTGGTTGAGCCAGTGCTGCTGTTGTCAGGCTAGTCGGAATGCTCAAACAAAGTTATTGTTTTAATATTGTCACAAAGACACAGTGTTCACACTTTTTGAGGAGATCAGTCTACAAATGACTTATTTATCATTGATTTATAGTTGATCATATTAAGCTGCATATTGAGATAGAAGAAAGTATTTTTCCATGACATTTCTAATGTTAATATTAGAAGATTTGAATACTATTCATATATGTCAGTAATCTGGTATAGGTAAGACTGCTATAGCCATTAAGACATATTGATGATGGTTTGCCACTGGAGAGAGAGTCATATTGAATGAGAGAGTCATATCCGCTTTGCGTCGTGGCCACATCACCACCTCGGGTGTGCATTATTTTCTAATAATTCAACGGCCCGTCGTCTATCATTCCTTACTTAACTAGTCTTACCTCAATTTGCAAGCTGGCCTTGTGGCTCATGTCGGTGGTCTGCCACGCAGTCTAAACAGAAATAATGTTGGCACTCCGACAATGTTGTGGAATTTACAAATATTATTCTAAATGTTGAGAAAAGTAATCTAAATATGAAAATGTATAGAATTAAGTGGTTAAAAAATAAACTATACCTGTTTGAACACTCTCGTCTCCTCGTGGTCCACCATTAAAGGGGTCATATGATGTGATTTCAAGTTTTCCTTTCTCTTTGGAGTGTTACAAGCTCTTGGTGCATAAAGAAGATCTGGGTGTTCGTCCAATCACAATGCACTGGGTCAGCTGACCAATCAGAGCAGTCTGCGCTTGTCAAAGGAAGGGGCTTTGTTGAAAATGACGTGTTTGAGAGAGGCGTGGCATAGAGGACCTACAATAATGTACAGTATTTGAAAAATAATGTTTTTTGAACATTCTTTAATCAAAACGGAAATAATGTGCAAGGACCGGAAATAGGATTAACTCATCACCAGTGTCAATTATGTCAACTCACTGTAATAACACTGACTCTGAAGACTGATTTACACCGCAAGTGTTGGTGTTGTTCAAATCAACACCAGAATCAACATGTTTTAACACTGGAAAATTAACACCAGAAAAACAACTAAACAATACTGGATATTTTTCTGTGTGTATGTATGTATGTATGTACCGGTATATGGAATACAGTAAACCAGTAATATTATGAAATATTATTATTGTGAAATATTATTTCTATAATATTAATGTTAAAGTAACTGTTTTGTATTTTAACATATTTTGAATGTCATTTATTCCGGGGATGGTAAAGCTGCATTTTCAGCATCATTACTCCAGATTTCAGTGTCACATGGTCCTTCAGTTCTGTGTAAATGTATTTATGCCACCTCTAAGCAGCATCAAACAGTGCCACTTCAGAAGAGTTTCTGCATTACCTTTGCAGTGTAAATTCGGTAATATGCTGAGTTGGTGCTCAAGAAACATTTATTTTTACTATCAATGTTGAAAACAGTGAAAACATTTTTTTTGTGAAAACTGTGACACCTTTTTATTAGGATTCTTTGATAAATGAGAAAAAAGGTTAAAAAAGAACAGAATTAATTTGATCTATTTAATGTGCCCTTGTTAAATAAAAGTATTAATTAGAATAATATTAATAAAAATATTAAAAAAAAAACACAAAAGTCTTACAGACCATGAACTTTTGAATAGTAAAAGTTGTTGATTTAAATATTATTTATTATTGCATTGATTAATATTTCTCTCTGCACATGTTCACGTTGATGTGTTAAATATTCTGTAATGTTTCATTTTTTTTTTTAACAGTGAATTTTGAAGATATAAATTTGACTGAACCATTGGTTTTCTCACTCAAATGCATGGTTTTATGGGCTCTATCAGTGGTCAGAGTATCGCAGTGTAAGGATTAAGATAATCACTTTAACCAAAGCGCTCTCGCTCGCTCTCTAGAACATGCTGGACTCTTATCTATCTGGGCCACTTAAACATTGACATCTTTTAGCGCAGCACTCCATATTGACTCATTCACACACAGAGGGAAAAGACTAGAGATTCAATTACCCCCTGCGATTAAAATACAAGTGTTTGGGCTATTAAAAAGAGAGCTTTAAGAGCATCAAATCCTTGCGCTGGAAAAAAAACTCTGGATAAACACAAAGAAGAGCTAAAGCATGTGTTCAAGAGGGGGAGTGAAAAACAGAAAAAAAAGGCTTAGAGGAGGATAGAAAGAACAGGGATGATGTGAGGATGACAAGGAACTGTGAGGACGAGGCTTTGCACCCTTGATCTTTTCACAAATCTCTCTTCTCTTCTGTCATTTCTCTCTGCGTGTGGAGGAAAACGTGTGACAGCCGGATAGAAGTGAATGAAAGTGATGGAAAAAAAAGACAAAGGAAATAACAGGAATGCTGATGGGAAAGAGAGATTGAGCTGCTGCTTTTGAGTAAACCCTTGTTCTGTCAAGAGCTGATCATTGAAACATGTCTCAGCAATGTGCTTGCACATCATTCCATGTCCTTTCATCCGCCAATCCCTTTCTTCTTCTCCTCCTGCTTAATCTACCCAAGCGTCCCTATTTCCACCCACCCTGCTGCTGTCAGAGGAAACTGCTGGTGCAGTGGAAGATCCAGGAGCAGGTGAGGATAGGACAGACGATTGATCTATGTACTCTCAGTTCAATATAAGATACTGTTTTTCTAGGAAAGATAAATCACAATGGAGATCTCTTTATTATCTCAACTGTTTCTCCAAGACAGCAGTGAGATTAATTGCAAACATATTGAGACTTTTTCTTTAAGTCAGTATGAAACTGGGTTAACAACCCATTTTACATCTGTAATGACAGCAGCCGAGAAGTAAAGTTGTTTCAGAGTCAGAGCCAGTTGTTACGTTTATATTAAATATTATGACTTTTTTTTTATTCTATGGCACCATTAAATCGTTCACAATGAGAACAGACACACATGCTAAAATTTTATACCACTTTCTTTTAAAGGGTAATAAGATAATAAGATCAAGGCCTGTTCACACCAACACAAATGTTTGGTGTGAAAATTCGGTCCAATTTTCACACACAATAAAGTGAAACCGTATGTTTTCAAACATCAAATCAGATTTTTGTATTTGCTACTGTGTTTATCAAATAACACCAGATAGAGCCAGTACCGGATTCTTCCTCTGCTACAAACCCGATTCCAAAAAAGTTGGGACACTGTACAAATTGTGAATAAAAACAGAATGCAATGATGTGGAAGTTTCAAATTTCAATATTTTATTCAGAATACAACATAGATGACATATCAAATGTTTAAACTGAGAAAATGTATCATTTTAAGGGAAAAATAAGTTGATTTTAAATTTCATGGCATCAACACATCTCAAAAAAGTTGGGACAAGGCCATGTTTACCACTGTGTGGCATCCCCTCTTCTTTTTATAACAGTCTGCAAACGTCTGGGGACTGAGGAGACAAGTTGCTCAAGTTTAGGAATAGGAATGTTGTCCCATTCTTGTCTAATACAGGCTTCTAGTTGCTCAACTGTCTTAGGTCTTCTTTGTCGCATCTTCCTCTTTATGATGCGCCAAATGTTTTCTATGGGTGAAAGATCTGGACTGCAGGCTGGCCATTTCAGTACCCGGATCCTTCACAATTTGTACAGTGTCCCAACTTTTTTTGGAATCGGGTTTGTATTTACTGCTGCTTAGTTTTTTGTAACAGGAACAGTATGTGACCAAAAGTGCAAAATTTATTGGTTGGCCAGTTCTTTGCAGTGGAAAAGAGTTTAGAACGCTACGTAAAAAAAATTCTGTCACATTGATATCATGCAAATGTTTGTGTTTTTGCGAGTCGGTCTGAATAGACAACAAAGTGAATGTGAAAGCAATGTCTTAGTGTTGTGACTCACTGCAAATCAAAAATCAGAGATCCCAACATGAACTTTCTTTCAAAATACTTTATAATTTTTTTCCAGAAATCCAATGCTATTCACATTACTTTTATAGCAGTAAACTCTTTCTGTATGTAAATTGTATAATTTATTTCAATTTGTATTCCTTCTAAGGATTAGATAAAACCTCTGAGCCAGAATCGATACTTAAATTAAACATTACTGAGTACTCAATTAAGTCTCCTGAGCTATGAAAGAGCAACCACTTAGTTGCAGTCAAATTTTCCTCTGGGTATCTATGTTCTATACTCCACACTGTAACACTAACAAGAAAGAAAAGAGTTAAAGTACTGTACCAGCTTGATGTTGTTAAACTGAGGTTATTTAGCTCATTATATGGTGTTTTCAAAGCTAATGTATCAGTCACTCGACAGCGGCAGCTGCAGCTCACAGTATGTCAGTTACTGCCTGGGGTAGATCATCAGCCTGTGCCCCCTCATATACCCACAGTTCACAGTCAGCTTCTGCTTCAGGCCTGCTGTATCGACTGCTCGACTGTATGTAAACACAGTCCCTCGTGACCACGTAAAGACTGCAGTATGATTTGCAAGTGTGATACGATTACAAATGCTACAAATACATGACATGCTGTTTATGCCATGGAAAAATCAACTTACAGACCTGAATATTCAGTTGTGGAGTGTTTTTCAGGTTTCTTACTTGAAGTCAGTTTCTTTATGAATAGCTGTTACACATGTTTTTGCCTTGTAGGCAATTTGTTGAGCCTGTTGGCTGCAGATATATTTTCCTTTTGTCATAT